CCGAGAGCTGATTTTAACTTTTTATTTTTTTAAACTTTTTTTGTATTTTTTTTTACTTTTTATTAACTTCATTTATTTTTTTTACATATTTTTTGCTTCTTATTAATTTAACTTTTTTTTAAACTTTTTTTAATTTTAGTTTATTTTTTTAAACTTTTTTTTTTTTACTTCATTGCTGGAAGCAATACTAAGCCCCCCCCAGCGTCGGCCATATAAACTAAGCTTAAATTTGTATTTATGGCTGGGGCCTGAGTAGTTGGTGCCACACCCCTAAGAACTTTGATATAAAAAGGAAAGAAAAAAGATGGGGGGTTTTTGGGCACCTGACAAATCCAAAGCAATTTAGCAGTAAAAAAGTATTCTTAATCTTAGTAATAATTTAAAAGATTGATTCACATACAGTACAAGTAATAAAAACAACCGGCTGATCAGATTGCTGCGGCGTCTCAGTATACCGCGAGCTGCAGCTCGCGGTATACTGAGCCTAGGGTGACGGGAGGACGCTAGTTTGTGTCCTCCCGTTACCCTAAGGAGAACTATGGGGAAAAGACTTAACCCCATAGTTCTCCTTTAAAAATACTTTTTTACTGCTAAATTGCTTTGGATTTGTAATTAGGTGCCCAAAAAAAACCCCATCTTTTTTCTTTTCTTTTTCTATCATATAAACTAAGCTGCTGTGCTGTCCCCCCAGCCCCAGGCCAGACACCAAGCCTCAACTGCTGCTATCCCCCCAGCCAGCCCCAGACACATCTCACTCAGCTGCTGCTGCTGTTCCCTTCCCCCCAGCTCCAGATCATTGCAGGCTTACCAGTGCAGTGACTTAACTTCACTACACACAGCCACTAACAGCCATCAAGCTCTGCCACTCTGCTGTGAAAAGCTCCGCGGCCGCCCCTGAGAAAAAAACCCTTCCTGCACGTGGGCAGGAAGGTACCAAAACATCAAATTGGGCGGGTGTTGGGATGTTGGGACGTACCAACTGTTCCGTACGACCGTGGCGGACCCTGCAAGGACCAGTCACAAACACCTTGCCGATTCCTGGCGGGGGGGGGCACACGGGGGGGCAAGTGAAAACCTAGGGGGGGGCAATTGCCCACCCTTGCGCCCCTGTAGCGACGCCACTGACGCAAAAACACACAAAGTGGGAATCCTCCTTGCACATCAGAATTCCCCCTTACACATTAGAGTCCCCCTTTACATCAGGTGTCCCCCATCACATTAGGAACCTCCTCCTTTCACATCAGAGTCATCTCCTCACACACTAGGAGCCCTCTTTTCACCATGGCCCACCTTCACGGAAGGTCATGATACTGTTTGTGAAAAGGTCACAAGGCACCCCAGGGTGCCACAGCACCCTAGTTGGGAAAGACTGCCATGAACAAGCATGTAACCCTTGCAGTGCAGGAGATTTGTGTTTCTCTGAGATAGGCTTTAAGCTCCATCAGGGCATATAAAAGCAGAAAAACATATGTCATAAAGCATTTTAAAGACCATGAACTTACATGCATTTCACAATACAAAACGAGAATCCAGATTTATTTCCAGCACGACTAGAACAATGCTCCAACAGGACCGCTGTCTGGATAGAGACTGATGCATACTTCATATGAGGCCGAGGGGCAGTAAAAATATGCAGTCACCCTCTGGCAAGTTAGTATTGCAACTGGACAGTGATGCACACATTGCTGTGGACGAGTTGCTTCACTTCTCGGCAAAAATTATACAGCAGGTGAATTTATACAAGGTGAATGTGACTCCAGAATAACCGCATGCCAAATGCTTGGCTTGTGGTTGGGGGTGTGGTAGTTCCATGTAAAAGCCCCCTAGGGATCAAAGAAAAATAAAATAAAACAGGAATTCAGGAGGTGGCAGTATTCAAAGCCCTCTGAAAAAGTAATCATCAGAGGGGTAAAGACCGCTGCTCGTGTGAATGAGCCCCAAAGCTCTTGCAACAGGTTGTGTGCTTTGGTGACAAGAAAATAGGCCTTCCTTGTCAAACCATTTTAAGGGCCATCTATAAAAAGCAGACAATGTGGCATTTACTGAAGGTGATTCTCTACCTGTGATTTAAAACACATGCAGTGGTGAATGTTTGGGGAATAACCCCAGATGTTCCTAGAGACTGATATTATCCATGATGCTGACATTCCCAGGACTCTCATGTACAGAGGACACTTGGACCTGTTCAGTCTAGGTGCAGCATGTAATCTGTGGGATCATGCCTGTCCTGGTCATTCTCATCAGGACAGGGATGATCCCACTCATCACTATGGGGGTTATTCGCTAATGAGCTGAAGGATCCAGCTGTAGCTTTGGCTGATCCTTCGGCTCCCTTGAGCTGCTGTACGGGCCATACGTAGTGACAGGCGAAGCGTGGAGAAGGGTCGGCCTAAGCAGACCGATCTCCACGCAAATGACAGCTGGGCGGAGTCAACCGTGATCTCACGGCTGGCTCTGTCCAGTTATAATGACAGACCAGTGTCCCCAAATGACCTGGGGACGCTGATCTGTCATTAAACAATAACTGGGCGGGGCCAGCTGTGATGTCACGGCTGGTTGCGCCCAGTGGTTATTCATTGGCCCGGGACCTGTAGGCCAATAGGAAACAGTTGGGTGGAGCTAGCGATGATGTCACCGATATCTCCTCCCAATTGTTGTTTTTATTTTGCTGGCATCTGTCAGATGCTTCATTATGTGGCAGGAGTTTGTCATGTGCAGTCAGGTTGGTGTGCATCTGGTATTTTAAAAAATCTTTTTTTTTTCTTAGAAAAAATAAATAAATATATATATATACAGGTGAAACTCGAATAATTAGAATATCGTGCGAAGTTCATTTATTTCACTAATGCAACTTAAAAGGTGAAACTAATATATGAGATAGACTCATTACATGCAAAGCAAGATAATTCAAGCCGTGATTTGTCATC